AAAAAAATGTGTAAATATATACATTTTATGATATATATTAATTCTTTAAGTATACATGGAAAAAAATCATATAAAGAGTCAATATTATTCACTATTATCATCAATAATTTTAATTACTATATACTTTTATTAAGTTATATAAATTGAAAATGTATATTATCTAAAAACATGACTAGAAAATTATTTGTTAATAAGCAATTAGCTTCATTCGGTAAGTATTTATTTTTCATTAAAGCCATAATTTTTTTTTTTCATTAAATCTATTTTTGCAAAATTGCGGGTCAACGGTTCAATTGTTGGTCAACGGTCAAATTGTCTCTGATGATGACTGCAATATAGGACGTTATTTAGCTAGGACTTTCGACGACAGTTTATACGGTAATTGATCATATTATAATTCATTGTTGTTATAATTTTTTTTTATATACAGTATTAAGTTGTCTCTTAATTGCAGGAGGAACTAGAATTATAGAGAACAGTCAAGTAGACAATTGGTTGTCTTATATTTGTGATCCTTTAAAGAACCCTAATAATCTTACTACTTTAAAAGAGCTTCTGAACACCAGTCTGTCCAAGAACTGGTTGATGACTTAGCAAATGACTTTAGCAGATATTTACGTATTTGCAAGCTTAATTAATTTTAATTACATACCAGAAACTCAGTATCCTAAGTTGGTTCGTTGGTTTGAAAAGATTAGCACCTTGAAATATGCGTCTGAAGTCTTGAATTCTTTAAAAAAGGCTTTCGTTACATAAACTGTGGCTGGCTGGCAGGAAACAAGACCAAAATCTTGTTGAATTACCAGGGGTTGAGATGGGAAACTTTGTTGTATTTTTCTCATTTGAAGCTAACGAATATTAACATATTGGGCATGCTCAGGTATGATCCTCTAACTAAATTGAATTGTATCTTGTATAATAGACAATCCAAGTGTCACAAAAAAATATTAACATTTTCAATGATTATTAAATATTTCAAATCAAATTAAATTCAATAAAACATGTTAATAAATTTTTTATGCAGCTTGGTAAGATGATTACTAAAAAATTTATCAGTACAGTATGACTGATAATTGATCTAGATGAACAGAGAAGTTCAGTTCTTAGCACGTTTTTATTTTTTAATTCATATTTATTAAAGTATACAAATTCTCGCACTTATAATTATTAATATCTGTCAATTACATATATATTTCCGATCATTAAATAATATAACAAGAGTATTGTGTTATGATGCAAATATAATTAAAAAAATGTGTTTTGTCAACTACATAAAAGCCTTTTATTAAAAGGAATTAAATGGATTAACTAATTTCATTCAAATTTCAATCATACAAAGGAGCTAATAATAATTTATCATTTTTTTTTTATTTTTCCATACATTCAGAGCAAAACCAAGTTGGTTGAGATTTTTGTTTTATCGATACGCAATGATAATGGTAATTCTTTAAGCAATTATCACAACTTATTATTTTTTTACTAATATTTAAGAGAAAAGTGCCATTACAACTTTTGCATAAGCCTATATTACTAATTTTTTTTAGTTTTATGACTTGTGATAAGATTTGCAAACTCTCTTCATCAAGATACTCTTTTAAGATTCCTAAATCGATAAATCCATTTATAAGAGAATCCTCAAGCTGTTCGGGCTTACAAATTTGAGAAATATCCTTAGCTTTAATTACATATTCACGTCTTAATACAGTGTTGACTACTGTTTGAGGTAATTTTAACCAATTTAATATGTCCATAACTTGTAGACACTTATTTTTTTGGGTAAATAGAATTAACTTTTGCCGGTGAATTAACTTCAGCAACTTTACAATTAGAATCTAGCTTAATCAATTGTTCCGAATCATTTACATTTTTTCTGGCTGGCTTCATCAATACAACACTACTTTGAGTAACAATTACTTCAGAAAGTTTTCTCCAAAAAAAATCAATTTTTTTTAAAGATTCTAATTTAAAATTCCAATTTTCGGGTAACCAAAGTGTCGATGATTGATAAATATTACTTATCTGTTAAAGTTTTAATTACTTTTCTCTTTTCAAAAACTGTCTTGATTTAATAACCAGTAGATACATTAGGAAGCTGAAGATAATCTGCTTCAATGCGTGAATCAACTTCTTTGATATCAATATCAAATCCACTTTTGAAACATTTATTTACATCCTCAAGCACTTTAATTTTCTTAGTAAAATATTCACCACATGATAAACTCACCGTATGAATTAAATCATTTAAAATGTAATTTAATTGTTTTTGGGATTCAAATAGATTAAACTTTTTTTCGCAACAAACTTGTGAAACAATTGTTTCTTTAACATCAATGCCATCGTTGGTTTTTCGGAAAGCTCTTTGCGTTAATTTATAGTAATTTTTAGACCACCTTACTGCGCATAATTCTTCAGAAAACAAAGATAAATCGTAATGTCGTCTAACCGCAAATATATGACGACAAGGTAAGTAGAGTGATAACCAATGACGACATTCGCAACTATTGTACGTTGTAGTTATCTCAAGAGATTTACATTTCATAAAATATTTTTCATTAATGTTTAGCTTATCTACTTGATTTTCGATATTATTTTTATCCCAGAAAGTAATATGTTCGTGATGGTCAAGCTCAATTTTAACGTATTTAAAAGCTGCAATTGTCAAATAATTGGAATATTGTTTTTCCCACTCAGTACAATTAATTGCGAAGTGCGGCTTTTTAATAAAATTTTTAGAAGCTTTAAAATTATTTTCTCTGTTGAAACCAGATAGCCATTAAAAAAAAGCAATTGCAAAAGCACTTAAATAGCGATTTCGATCTACTTCTTTTTTCATTTTACCATTAAGAGATTCCAATCTATTGTTTGTCTCGTTTCCCAAATTGCCAATCATGTAATAACTGCACCATTCTTCTCTATTTTCATGCCAGTTTGTATTAAAATAATCAACAACTTGAATAGGCGCTTAATCAACAAGTTGAACGTAATAATCATCATATTCTTCAGGAGATTCACTATAAACAATCTTTTGAAGTAATGATAAACAAAGGTTTCTTTGATCAGTTGTGATATTCATTGCTTTTGTTGTAATATAATTAGAAAATATTTTTAAGACATGAAATCGACAGATATATGTAGAAACGTTAGGAAACAATTCTTTCAAAACTTTTCTCTCTGTTAAGTCCTTGTCGGTCATGAAGCATCTTATTTTATTACAAGCATCTGCGTTTTCATTTTTAAAAGTTTCAAGAAACCACTTCATGGATGCATAATCTTCATGAGCTAGTATAGCTGCACCAGCTAGTTCACTTAATCCATTGGAGTCTTCCACAAGCAATATCATAAATGATAAATTAGTATTAAACAATTTATAAGATCCATCTAAGAACACAACTTCTGGCCACGACCGAAAAGAAGACCTCATGTCAGCAGTAGAAAAATAGAGACCTTGGTACTCTTTATTCTTATGGAGAAGATGAACATTGGCGCCTGTAATTGAATAATATACGATATTTAATGGAATTAACGGAACATTGTATATAAGCGAATAAGTAAACTAAATTTTGTGTGAATTATTACATAAAAAATAAAATTTACTTGAATCGAGTAAATAATTTTGAAGAATTTCATCTTCTTGATTTGAGTAGAAAAATTCTTGAACTAAGAAATTTTTCTTGGTTCAAGTAAATTTTACTTAATTCAAGAATTTTTCGTCTTGATTCAAGAAAATGAAATTCTTCAAAATTATTTTCTTGGTTCAAGAATTTTTCTCTTAATTTAAGTAATTTTTTTTTTAAGTGTAGTAAAATGCCATAAATATGCAATCATATTATTTAACTATCTCACGAAATAATGAAATTGTTGTTACCTTTAGATTTTAGTAATTTTTCTACTACGGATAAATCGTTACTTTGTAGATCTTTTATTTTAGTTTGTATATTTGATAAATCCTTTATTCGAACTTTGACATTCTTTTCATTTACAATTTTAATACGCAAATGTTATTTCGAACATTTTAAATTCAAAGCATCCACTGCCATTTGATAAGTTCCTGGCGACAATCTTCTGTTTTCAGGCACATCATCAATAAAGGCCTAAAATGGAGAAGAGAAATCTTAAAATGATTCATCAAAATTTTCAATCATGAATCTGATCATTTATAAAGACAAAAAATAAAAACTAAAATTCGAATAAACAGAAAAGAAATGACTTAATGTATCTATATATACACACTGCAGTATGCACATGCATATGCACATGTGCATTGAGTTAATGATTTTTAATTTGTTGAATTGTTGAAATTTGCTGAAATTGTTTACTTTTTTTTTATCAACAAAATAGTAAATATATGTTAGAGAGAAAAGAATGTCCTAAAAAAAACGTTTTTTTTTTTATTTATATGTTGTTTAGTAACACAAACTATTGAACTCGTGAATAATTTTGTTGGTAAAACACATTCTTTTACAAAGTTTTATGCGTTTCACAACAATTGACATTATTTCTGGAGGCTTAGAACTTATTAGATTTAAAGGTATTAAAAGGAATCAATAAAGTAGCTTAAAAGTTATTTAAGAAAATTTTTTTTTCTCTTTTTAAGAGAAATTGAACGCAGTCTAAAAACTTTGCTTAATTATTTTTAACAATGAATAGAATTTTTTTTTTTCATTAAGTAAGACTTTAAAATGTTTTGTCCACAATAATAAAAAATTAAACTTGAACTAAGAATACCATTTTGAAGAAATTGATTTAACTTGAGTCAAGAGAAAAAATTCTCGGGTCAATAAATTATTCTTGGTTCAAGATTTTTTCTCTAGAATCAAGTTAAATCATTCTGTTCAAAATGGTATTCTTGGATTAAGATTTTTTTCTCTTGAATCAAGTTAAGTTTTTTATCAGTGAATGTATTTTTTTGTGATATGCATTATACAAGCTCCCAAGTAAAAATTTCGCGAATTAAAAATATTCATTTAACGCAAAATTTAGCAAGCCATAAAATAGTTTTATTTTTTGTAGAATATAAATATATGATAGTTACCTTACTATCTTCGTGATTGCTATGTTCCAAATTAACATTGGTAATTTTTAGTGAACCGTGATCCTGTGTCAAGTTTGCGTAAATGAAAGCTTCACATCCCATTTTGTATGTGCTGAATAAAAATAATTAACATCGATTGAATTCAGCTTAATTCAGAGATATATGGGACGTTCCATGCCATTTCACCGAGTTTTTTACGCAAATATTTTTCAGTTGGTAAGAAAATTTTCTATTGTTTTCTGATCTATTAAAAACTTTTTTTAAGAAATTATCCATTTTTTTTAATAACCGTAATTTTTTAAAAAATTGAGATATTGAGACGTTTTTTCTATTAATCTTTTCGTTTTTTATTGTATCCCGTGAAAAAATATTCTGATCAGGCTTGATATGAGTTGATAAGGCCATATAAGAATTTTTGATATATTCATATCTGGCCTGATATGACCTGATATGTCCATATTTAATTTTTGATATGTCCTGATATGGCCTGATATGGAAATTGGCCATATCAGGCCATATCAAGCCTTATCAACTTGATATGTTTATATCAGACTTGATATAGCTTGATAAGCTCATATATAATTTTATATTATTTCTTAATAGGTCCTGATATGGCCTGATATAACCTTATAAAGTTATATATACTTCGATAAACTTGAAAAAAAATCCCTGATCAGAGTTGATATGACTTGATA